GAGAGGGTCCGGCCCACGCTGCGCCTGGGCTGGGACTGGTCCCGCCGGTGCAGGTTAGCAGGAAGCTCTCCACACACTCACTGGACCTGGGCTAGGACTCTATACTCTTCTTGACTTCATAGTTTTTGAAAAGAAGTCAGCAATATTCTCATGGATTTTTCCTTAAATGTTATCTTTTTCTCTTCTCTAGCAGCTTTTAATAAGTTGTTCTTGTGCTAGATTTCTAGGGTCTTGATTAGTACATGTCTGGTTGTGTTTTTAATTGGTTTGATGTTATTTGGATTTCTATATGCTTCAGTTACATGAATTTCTGATTGTTTCTCCACATTTAGGAAGTTTTCTGCTATTACTTCTCCCCATATTATTTTATATCATTTGTATTGACTCCTTCTTTCTCACTCATGCCTATAAGTCTCACATAGTTCATCTCTGCATCATCTTGCAAATGATGAATTACATTTTCCTACATCCTAGTTGTTTTTACAAGATCTTTTCTTAACTTTTCACTTGCTGCAACAATGTCTTTGAGGCCTGAAACTCTATCTGCGCTTTCATTCAAGCAATTTTGCCAGCTTGTGATTGCAGATTTAATTTCCTGTATATCTCTTTCAATCTGCTTCATGCATTCTATTTCTTTCCTATATTTTTCATTCATGATTACATCATTTTTCTATTCTCATCTAATTTTTTGTCAGTGTCTCATTTAGAAGCACTTAGTAATTCTTTCATTCTATTTATCATTTCTTTATTTATTTCTAAGATTATTTCTAATCTGATTTCTTCTGTACCTTTTTGCAGTTGTTTCTGTACTTCAGACCCCATTATTTCAGAGTTTCTATGTGTGTGATTTCCAATATCTTCTAAACTGCATTTATTCTAAGTGTTCTTGGGGCCTGAGAATGCATATTGCTCCTTCTCTTTGTCGTTTTTTATAACACTGTCTTCTGGGATAGAGTTTTGATACAGTTATTACTTTAGCATGTATTGATATTATTACCCAATATAGATTATGTGGTTAAGGAAGTTGCAGTTTTGTATTTACAAAACTATAATTATCAACACTAGAAGTATGGAGAGCTTTACCATTTGGCAAACTTTTCTATTTAGTGGGTTTACCTTTTAGACCCTAAGAATAAATATTCTCTCAGTATAGTTACACAGATATGATATTGAGACTTTGTACTTAAATAAGTTCCCCTAAGATCTATCAGATCACCTTCCCTTTTGTACCTGTAGTCTTCCAGGCAAACTTGTTCAACCCAGTTACCTGTTGCCTCCTCTCTCAATCAAGAGAAAGAGAGACGATGTTCTCATATATCTGGGTCTAGCAAAGTGTTTCAGCTTACTGGGTCTGGATCTACTGAATGCAAACTCATCCCGTTGTGCCTAACTTGGGTGTAGCTGCTGTCCTGTGCTTATTCCTGCTGCATCACACGGAAGTGGGCTTGGTTTGCACCTCTGGTAAAGTATTCTTCTCCTGGATTAGTTGAGTGGGTCTTGCCTCTTTCCTCTCTGTAGGGAGTTTTGCTGCAGGTTTCAACATCAGGTCTGTCTGATGGAGGAGGTTCTGGCAAGTACAGGGAAGGTTACACTCACATGCCGGTCCTGGTGATGGGGTGGGGTAAGATATCCAGCCCGAGTTTTAATAATTTTACTCTATTTTATTTTACTTTACTTTATTATTTTTTATATCAGGAATTGAAATCAGGACCTTACATTTACCAGGCAGGCTCTTGAGTCACTGAGTTAAATCCCTGTCCCCCACTTTTTGCTTTTTTTTTGCAGAGCCAGGGATTGAACTCAGGCCCTTGAGCTTGCCAGGCAAGTGATTATTCAACTGAGCTATCTCCCCGGCCCCTGCCCCCACTTTTTTATTTTAAGACAATATAACTTAGATTTTGTGTGAATTAGGCTTCCAGGATGTAGGATTACAGATTTTGTTACCATCTGTGGCTTGTCAATTGATATAAATAAATAAATAAATAAATAAATAAATAAATAAATTATAATATATGTGTATATAAAACATCATATCTCACATGATAAATGCACTGCATTTTCATCTATAATTTAATATGTTGGAGGAAAAAAATAATAATGAGAGTTAAGAACGCTATATGTTATCCAAAACCATAAGATTTCCACAGTGTATGATGGTTGATAAAGATGAGCTCTCTACTTAAGTTCCAATTTGCGTTCATGGGTTGGGAAGATAACTCTGTGGTCTAAGTGCCACCTTCCCTGCTCCCTATAACCCGGGCATATTGTGTTAGCCTTAAAACTGGGTATGGTGGTGCTTTCCAATAATCCCACCACTGTGGAGACTGAGATAGAAGGATTATTATGAGTCCAAACATTGTAGAGAGACCCTATATCAAAATAATAAAAATAAAAAAGAGAAAAATGTTTATGTGCTGATTCACACTATGTAGCACTAATTATTACTAAAGGTATCTACATGTACAATTTTGTACTTCCTTTCTTGGTCATCAGGCTAAGGCACAAGCCACAGCACCCACACTATGGTCCCACCTGACTAGTTGAGGGAAGATTCACTGACACAGCGCAAGGACTAAGGGAGCAGAATTAGTGAAATTCCAGCCACATGGTAAATAAAAAGGACATTTGGGCTTATAAATTCTATAACTTTGAAATAAGAGCTTTATTATTCATAACTCTAACTGACTACAATGATATTTGACTTAGAGACAAAGTACAAGCATTGAAATATGTTACTTTGTGTTGGATTTTCCATGGTCATTATTTCCACTGATAGCATTGGCAAATATGAGGTGGAATGGAGTTCACTTACATCAGATGGAGAGAAATGACAATGAAATAAATAGCAAAACATTCCTTTATAAAAATGTTTCTTGGGGCAGGGGAGATAGCTCAGTGGAATAAGCGCTTCCCTGGCAAGTGCAAGGACCTGAGTTCAATCCCCTGTTCCACAAAAAAAAAAAAAAAAAAAAGTTTCTTTCTTTGAAAAATACATGTAGATTTCCTTGACTATGTTTAATATTCATGAATATACAAACAATAAAAAAATTACAGTAACATTTTTCACGCAACACAATTTATACTGAATTTTATCCAGTATAGTATTTTCAAATACAGTGTGGTTCCTTGGGGCTCAGCATTCATTGGTACCAGGAGGTGGATGTTACCAAAAACTATGAGCAACAAAAAATGTTTATCTGAAGTGAAGCAGGTCATGGGGCAATCAACACTAACAAGTTCTACCTTGAGTTCTTACAACCAGGGAACCAACCACAACCAGGATAGATGTTCCTGTGAAAATGTCTCAAGTGCCAATTCAGAGGACTTTCACCAATAGCTGACTGCAAACTATTATTGTAATTTAAAGACCCACTAGCTTCAAGTCACTTTTGGAATCAGATCCCCACTTTCCCCAAAAAACTCCACAGACTGCAGGCTGTGGGGTGCATCAGACATCTCACCTCCTCCCTGGGCAAGCTACCTCAGATGACATTTATCTGCTACTTCCATCTATGGATATCTCACTATCCAGGAGAAATACAGATAAGAATACTCTTCTGCACAAGGCAAAGGTTTTTTATTTTATCCAACAAGTAAAAAATATATATAGATAATTTTTTCTCTAAATAGTTACTACTCAACAAAGAATATCAGTGTTAGCGAAAATATTTCAGTTCTTTCATAACAACTGAATCTTTAAATAGGCCAAAGATATGAAATGAGTATTCTACAGAGAAAGATGTCAAAGATGCATTTCAGAGATTTTTTACACTTTTTATGTCATACTTTTATAGAAGATGTAGACTGCTTCTTCATAAGTTTACATAAGTCCCAAACCTCATTATCAATCAAGGAAAAGTTTTAGATTCATTAAAATTATGATGTGGGAAATATGCATGATCTTCCTTTTAAAAGACTGTTCTCTAAATATGAATGATCATTAGGTATTGCATATAGGTTTTCTTAATTATTATTTAAAGGAAACACCTGTGAGCTCATGTAAAAGTTTGTTTTGTAATTGCTGAGTAAAGAGAAGGTAGGGACTGAATTGATGGATGGAGTGTTGAACAAATGGATAGAGGAACCATTTCATTGCCAACATCATAGGGGTGGAGTCTACTCTCGCCCCATCAGTCTCTTTACTGCTTCTCTTACATCTTTGTTTCGGAGGGTATAGATTAGAGGATTGAGGCTGGGTGTAACCAAAGTATAAAAGAGGGCAATGAATTTGCTTTGGTCTTGAGAACTTTCTGTTGGAGGCTGCAGATATATGCACATGGCTGGAATGAAAAACAGGGAAACGACCAAAAGATGGGCTCCACATGTTCCAAAGGCTTTCTGAGGCCCAGTAGATGATGGCATCCTCAGCACAGCCTGGATAATAGCACTATAAGAGGTCAGAATAAGAAGAAGTGGAATTACTACAAAAATAGAACTGGTGACCAGGAGAAGCAGTTCATTAGCACGAGTATCCACACAGGATAAACTCAGGAGTGCTGGGACTTCACAGAAAAAGTGATCTATTAAGTGATGGTCACATAAGGGTACCCAGAAGGTAAAGAGTGAATGAAGTGCTGAGTTAGTAAAACCACTTATCCAGGAAGCCACAGCCAACAGATGGCATAAACGAGGGTGCATGAGCACAGTGTAGTGCAAGGGTCTGCACACTGCTACACAACGGTCATAGGACATCACCACAAACAAGACACACTCTGTAGATCCCAGGGCAAGGACAAAGTAGAGTTGAATCATGCATCCAGAATAAGATATGGTCTTCTCTGGATCCCAGAGGTTGACCAGCAACTGGGGGATGGAGCTGGTAGTGTAGCAGAGATCTAGGAAAGAGAGGTTTGAGAGGAAAAAGTACATGGGTGTGTGGAGGCGAGTGTCCAAATGTGACAGGACCATGATGAACAGGTTGCCTGTCAGTGTCATCAAGTAGAAGACTAGGATCACCACAAAGAGAGACACTTCCAGGTGAGGCCACCTGGAGAATCCCAGAAGGATGAAGAAGCCTTCAGTAGTAGCACTGATATTGTCAATCATGTTGATGTTACTTGAGAAAAAAAATCACTCAAAAAATAAGGACAGTCTCCAAAATTTGTATAGATAAATGTAAAAGAAACAAATATTAGTCTTGAAGCTCTGTCATTTTTCAGTTCTGGAAAATTTGAGCATTAAAAAAATGTTATGCTAATACACTGAAGAACACAAAACCAGAACCTTCAAGTCTATATGATACAAAAAAGAATTAATAAATTAATAGCAAAAATAACACCATCCCTTGCACTAAATTCATAAGTATAAAGAAAATTGAGTTAAATATAAATAGAAGCAAAACTAATGAATAGTACTTTGAGGAGACATTGTATCTGTATTCTATAACATCTCCCTTGAGTTACTTACTAATTGCAAAGTGGAAAGAAGCAAACTTTGTCATGGTGGAAGCTCTGGACACAGCCATAGCCACAGGGTGGTGAACATCAGTCTCCCAGACTGGATGCCAAGCAGCTCTGTGTGACTGCTGAAGTAAAGCTCTCCACAGACAGGAGGTCACTTCAGTGCTGTTAGAGGTACAGTGCACAGCCTCAATGTAAAATCAAGGAAGACTGCAACAAACTCATAGTGAGACAAAAGGGCCTTCCTACATGCTTTTAAATGTTTAGATCAATGAGGCAGTGAAGACAGAGAAACTGCTCCATGAGGATAGGCCCAGTGGGCACATATCTCATTACAGCTATTAAGAAATGATTAAGACATCTGGAGAAAACCGAATACTGACCGCTTATGATCTAAGAAAATTGTACCTGTATTAACTTTGCTGATTCTGATAGTGTCACACTTTCTTTAAAATGCTATTCTTATTCTTAAACATAGTTTTCAAGAATGGCATAACACAGTTTCTCTAACTTATTCTGCAATGTACCACAAGAGCTATGTATTACAGAAAAATGGACAGGCAGGTCGACATGCAGTAAAGAGAGTGAAGGGGAAATGAATAGTTGGAGAACAGGACTGTGACACGGAAGAATGCCTGCTGATGCACTCGCTGCATAAAGGGTGAGCAGGAGGCCTTTATAGTACAGATTTGTAACTATTCTGCATAACCGAAATTTTTCCATAATAAAATTTATCAAAACAAAATACAAAGTAACTTTAGTCTATCTAGAGGTTGTCCTTCTCACTCTTTACTCTCAAGTTCTTTTCAGTAATTCTGGGTTGACCTTGCAGTGAATTAATAAAATCAACTAAGAAAACCCTGACCCAGCCAAAGAAGACTCCTTCCAGGAAGCAATCTTCATTCAAATTAGTGACTTCTGTTCTTTTCTTTGATCTTTCAAACAATTTATTCTTATAAAAGGAATAAAATTTTCAGCCTCAGTAACTTTATTCATGGATGAAAAGACAAACATATCAAATTTAATAGCGATTTGAAAATATTTAATTAAGATGAGATGAACTTAGATTTAATTAATTATATTCACAGAAAGACTTTTATTTTCTCTTTTTTTGCATGAAAACTTTCTATTTGTACCTGACAATAAAGATACCAACAAAAATACACATATTAATATGCACACAATCTTATAAGAATTAACAGTATGAAACCCTAAAAATCTAGAAAGAAGAAAATTAGTTCTTAAATATGTGCCAATATAACCAAATTTGAAAGGATATATTTTAAGAAATGGAAGATGAGCATGTGGTGAAGCAGCAAAAGAGGAAGGAGGAGTGCGGGTCCATGTAGAGCAGAGCACCTGATGCAAATATGAGGGACACCACAACCACAGGGACTGCACCACAGCCAGAGGGAAGGCACCATGCCGCATGCTTCTAGAGACAGTACAGTGAGCATTACACTCACCGTGTAAATGCTAATCCTCAATCTTAATTACTGTAGGCTTTTAATTAGAGAGTTTAGAGAAGGATTCTGGATATTCAATTAAACAATAAACAGATCTTTTCATTAATATATTATTGCTATTGTGCCTTAAAGCAACTTCTGTAGCAAAGATAAATTGTGTTACACACACTGTCTTGCTTCAGGTATTCTGTTTCTCTTGTGTGATTTCAACTTCTGGTTGGAAAGATGACACATCCATCAGTCATAAAGTTACTGTGGACTTTCATAGTGATCCACCACTTTAACATCACCTTTTCCACTAAATTCTCTGTTCTTCTATGTTTTCCATAACATCCTCCTCACAAGACCAGTGCCTTTTCCCAGACCCCTTCCAATTAGTAGTGGAACAGGATGTAGTACAATGAAGTGGAAAGGCCTGTAATTTCTTCTTGTGGGTCTCTTAATTTTTCATGTCCTGTAAAAGATGGCAGGAGTAGGAAATTATCTGAGTTCAGCAGAATAATTGGAACTACTCAGCCTAGCTTCAAGCCTTTAGGACTAACTCAGACCTGGTAACTCTCAGTATATTAGTAATGTGGAAAACCATTAACCAGGCATTGCACAAATGTAGGCTGCTTTCTGCAAGTCAGAAAACATCTAGGATAATCATTCGATATATTTTTAAACAAGATCTCTCTTGAAAGCTATATCTGAACGAAAAACATAATACAAAAATAGAAAAGTATAGATTATTCCTTACTAGAGGGCAGTGCCAGTTGAAAGGTAACAGTAATTTTCCAAGAGAAACTAAAAAAAAATCCTATCATGGAAAATAGTAAGTTCTGAGAAATAGGGGTGCAAAATGTTGTCACCACTTCCTCACCTGGAGATTAGTTTGCCTCCTCCTCAACCAGTTATTGCTGTGTCTCAGTCACTAAAAGAAGTTGGGCACTGTGAAATTTTCTGTGATGGATCTGGGACCATCTTTAGCATTTGTATAAAGAGAACTCAGAGATGAATCTGATATCAAGGCTAAAACACCATAACTGAGGAGGAATGGGTAGAGGGTTTGTGGACAAATGTTATTTTACTGGGGCAGGTAGGAAATAAGGCCATCATTACAGTCTCTGAGTAAGCTCTTCTCTTTAGGCTCAGAAGCCAGTATCTTGGGATAAAGCACTTGCTCTTCTTCACTGTTTATCCTGGCCCACCACTTTCTCATGTTGCTCATGCTATTTCTTTCATAGTCTTAGCTGTTGTTTAAAGAAATGTTTTATTCCTCCTCTTGCCTTTGAGTTCCCTCTTTGTTCACAGGCCCAGGTGCTGTCTCCTTGTCTTATTCTCATCCTACGGGGACATTCTGATGGCTAGTGTGCGGCCCCCGGAAGTTACCAGCCTAACTCTAGATTCACATCTGCTATATCCAGCGAGGAAATCAGTCTCAAAACACCTGTGATCATCACTGCTGCAGAAGAGAGGTCCCACTTCTAAAAGTGTTTATTTTCAGTAAGAAGGTCACTGGAGTGTTCTGTGTGTCAGGGGATGGCCTTTATGTCAGAGCGAACAGAGCTTTTGTGGAAACAAAAAGAGAGGGACTGGATTTCCCTAACTGGGCCCACAGGGAGGGCAAATTCCAAATTGATGATTAGTGCCCTTCAAAGAGTTGACTTAGATGGGATTGCCATCCCAAGAGGATAATGAGTAATCACTCTGCCAATCAAGAAACAAGGTACTTGGATAGAAGGCTTCTGTGTGTACACCAAAGGAAGAGATTGTCAGTTACCTGAAAGTCACACATCTGAAATTTCTGAGATGATGGCAACTAAAGTAGAGAAACAACTTAATCAGGCTATTGATAAAATCTGTTCAGAAATAATTACTCATGTAAAAAGGAAAGGAAAGCAATCATGAAAAAGTATTCAATCTGTTTTAAGAAGATATATATAAAGACATAGAGGGGAATAAGAAAATGATGGAAAAATTGAATAAACAATACAGAAAGAACTAGAATGCTTGAAACACATTCAAATAGATATCCAGTACATTAAGAATTTTGTTGAAAACTATCTTAAGTTGAATGAAACTTAAGAGAATTTCAGAACTTAGAGATAGCATTGCAGCTAGTGAACATGAATGGAAAGATCTCTCTCTTTCTATTTCTCTCTCTCTCCCTCTTGCTCTCTATCTTTCTCTCAATGCATAGTGTTTTCTTCCATTACTTGTTCAAGTTACCAGATATATGCATGCAAAATTGGAAGAAGAAAAAATGTATTAGAAAATTAAGAAGGGCCAGTGAGATAGTTCACCAGACTAAGAGCCAGCTTTGGCAAGTGCATGGACCAGGCTTCAATCCACGATTCCACATGCTTCCCCAGCTATTCCATCAGGACTCACTGAGTGGCAACAGAGTCCAGGCATGTTGGTGAATGCCGGTAACCCCAGTGCTGGGGAGGCTGTAGACAGAAGGATCACTACAAGTCCAAGCTGCGTAGTGAGATCCTGTACCAAATACATGAAATGAAAGGGAAAAAAAGAAAGAAAGAAATTAAGAAGAGAAAAAGGGCAAACAGCCGAAAAAAGGAGATAAAACAAATTCAGTGTTAACTGTTCCTTTGCATAGGCCAGCAGATATCCACAATAGAGTTGTCCAAACTATTATACATAGGTATATATCACTCCTCACTCCATGTCTTGTTCTTCTCCTTAACTCAGCAATTCCTCCCTTTTTCATAGGCTCATTTCCTTTTTCCCAGATCTATTGTTATCCTTTATATTTTATTTTCTCTTTCAGGTTCTTACACTAAAAGACGATACAATGTTTCCACATGAAGGTCTGATTTATTTCACTTGAGCATATGGTCTTTAGTTGCATCTATTTTACTAAAACATGACTCACATTTATCCTGTTTTCTATCAGAAACATACTCTATTGTGTAAAAACACCACAGTTTCTTTATTGGCTCCTCAGTTGATGGACATTTGCATTGTTTCCATGATTAGCCATGACAAATTATACTGCTATAAACATGGGTGCACATATGTCACTATAGTATATTTTTAGTTCTTTTGCACAAATACTCCAGAGGAGGGGGAATAGCTTGGTTGAATGAGACATCCAATCCTAAAATTTTTAGGTACATTCAGACTGATTTTCATAGTGGTTGTACCAGCCTGCACTCCCACCAACAGTGGAGAAGGTCCT